TGTCATGCCCGCATGCGTCGTGCTCACCCGTACGGTTGGCCCCGCCGGCGTCGTGCCTGCATGTGTCGTGCCCATTGTACTTGGCTTGCCCCTGCTGTATGTCCGCGTCTTAAGTGTGCTGCTCGTGTTCGTTGTGGACACACTCTTCGCACTCGTCCTCGCCGGGCTCGTGCTCCGGGCTCCCTCTCGTGCTCGGTAAGCTCCAGCTGCTTGGCTTGTTCAGTGCGCTGCCGCTCGGCGAGGCCGTCTGTTCTCGAGGGTTTGTAATGTGGCATAGAGGAAGAATGGGCCGCGGCTCGTCACGCGCGTGTGTGGAATCCATCGATACATTGGGTGCTTCTGCAAGTACGCGGGACGAGTTGTTCTCTTCGTCAGCAAGGTGTACATCGAGCAGAACATTTAATGTACTCACTACACGACCGTCGGTCGTGGGTGAACGGAGCGCGCCGTCGGATGTGCGGCGACACGCGTCCGACGTGATGTCATGCGTAGCAGCGGGTACGACGTAGAAGTCGTCCTGAGTGACAGAGGAGCTGACATCGTGGCCAGCAAGGCGCACGACGGACATCTCGTTGATCAGTCACCTGCTGGCGCGGGCATTTGCAAGGGCAGCCGTGAATGGGGTGTCTGGCAGTGGAGGCGTAACTTACCTTTGAGCTTGATGCCTTCGCGCTCGTTCTATCCGCTCGCACTACATCATTCGCCTTCCTTCCTCTTCGCACTCCCCTCCCATCCTTCTTGCACCAGGCTCCTTGGGGGTTTCTCGCTCGATGCAGGACTTCTACGTGCATGCTTAAGTCCTGGGTTGTGCGGTGTGTCACCGGAGCGGCGTGTTCGGCCAGAGGTTGCCACAGCCTGAGTCGAGTGTTGTAGTGCAAAGGTTCACGAGAGGGACATGAAGTGTATATCTGAACATTCGGTGGATAGGCTGGGAGTTGAACGTTGAACGTTGACGGAGCAGGTGGGAGATGGTTGAGCGGGAAAGCGAGAGAACAGCGCGCCGTGCGAAGCGCTCAATGCGACTTACTACGCCTGTAAAGATTGTATGAACCTATGCATGAGTACTTAACTTCTCAGGTGTGTTTACCCGTGGAATTGCTCGTGAATCGGGCGGCGCGAGAGGTAGTAACTGCAGCGGCGGGTCCAAGGCAAAGAGGCTCTTCGTCTTCCCAGCCCGGAGACTACCCATGGATTTTGATTTAGAAGTGATCTAAACGTGATGGTAGGTTCTAAACTTATGGAAGCCGGGACGGTCGCGCTCGAGATTTCGGATTCCGACTGTTCGTGCCACCCGGCCCGTGCGTCCGCGCCACAGCCAGGTGGATGGACTCCGGATACCTTCAAGACTCTTCGTTATTCATTGACTTTCATCCCGACGGCAGTACCTGCAGTACACCCCGTCTTGCGCAATGCGCGACACACGGAAGAGCCGTCTGAACGTATGTATGTACGACTACTCTAATGCTCGGCTGACAACCATCAGTCGCCCTGCAGACCAATAATTCTACAGTGTCCGCACAAGCCCGTACACTGCATCCCGCCGTCCGACGTCCCGCACTCTGTCCGCCACGACTCGACGCGCGGAGCCTCCGCACGACAACGACCCATCTCGTGCACATCGACGGACGAGCCGCAACTCGTCAACATCACCGGTAGCCGTCTGCGCCTGCGTGCACGCCGTTTCCACCGCAAGCCGAACGTGTTGAACGTCCACGGCCTCAGGCTGCACGAATGCGGCCATCTGCGCGTCGCCCATGGTCAGCACAGCCGGGTACCGAAAGTGAAAGCACTCACCCACACTCGTCGTGCACCTCGACGGTGGACACGCCCCGCACCGAGCCCGTCTGCAAACAACACACCAGTTAGTACACTGGCAGACAGTACCCCACAGTACCGGCGCCGGTAAGCACTGTGACCGAGCGAGATCACCTTATGTAAGCTATTCCCTTATTGAGGCAGTATTGACTTGAGTGCGTTCCACTGGCATGATTGATGGTTCAGTGTATGCACTAGTTGTTATAGAAGTGTAATTTAGCTATATATGGGCATGAGCAAGGGTCCATGCATCTGTATGCTTCCGAAAGAGCACTGGGGGGCAGTCTGCGTACGCTTTTGGCACGGGAAGCGCCCGGAGGCGTTACTGTATCGGGTTCAGATCTCTTCCATATTAGGATAGCTGGTCAGACAAGGGCAATAGGTTCATTGTTTGCACTTTCTACATGCATCATACAGCTATTGTTAACTCATATTGCACAGCTTTATGCATTGTGCACGAAGTTTTAGAGGGGCAAGAGCACAACACCGAGAGGAGGGCAGAGATCCCGGCCCGATGGTGATTACCCAATCGGGCAATAGCTGTGGCTGGAGTGTGCCCGCCATTCGCAAAACAATTCCATTACAGACTATGGTCTCACCACATGGTTTAAAGAGCTACAAGGATAATATGCAGTCGTATATGGGAGTGTATGCCCAGATCTATATACAAATCGAACTGTTAATTGCATGTGATGCAATGTTTAGAACTGAGTAGTACATCGCCCAGCCAATCAGAGCCTGGATAATGGTCAGCGGTATGCGAGTATGTACATTCAGAAACGTATTCTGAGCGAGTCATGCAATACAGAGCCATATATACTGTATGGATACTGCCAAGCTCACTGTAATACTTGATAATTGGATACTTTCATGCACCAGAACTTCCTAGAAAACATCTGGCTGCGACTATGCATTTCTGGTTACAAATGACAGTGTATGAAGCTTGCGAGAGTGTGACACAAAACTGTTGATGTTCTTCCAGAATCTCACCCTATAAGATCATCATAGTATATGTACTACTTCTGTATAGGTGTAGGATGCAGCCGAGAGTGCTTGAGCATATGTTTTTTGTCACGAAATTAGCCGCTCACTACCGAATATGGCAATCATTACTTGATTAGGTATCGGGTGCTTCGCTTCGGTGCAATGTTCTGTGCTCATACTCGATGCATACGTTGACGCGACCGAAAAGAACACAAAAGCCACACAAAAACCCAACCGTGAGGTCGAGCAGTGGTATGCGAGGCCTCTGCGTCTATGAGATGTACGGGGGACTGTACAGTGGTCTAGGTAAGAAGGAGGAGGACGGACAAGACTCCGAACGACGTGGGAGAGCTTCGAAGATGTCGAAGACTGTTCGAAGACGAGGGCTAAGCCTCGAAGGTAGGAGGGGGAGTTTCGACAGACGTGTCGAACGAACGGTGACAAGGAAGGCGAGCGACGGCAGGAGAAGAAGTGTAGAGCCTCTCGGGGCAACTACGAGCTGGCGAACGTACTGGCGAACTGACTGACTGACTTCGAACGTACTGACTGACTGGCGAACTTGCTGACTTCGAACGTACTGGCTGACTGACGAACCTCGCTGGTGCGAGGTGAGATTGAGAGGGTAAGGGGGTCTCTGAGATTCGAAGGGAACAAGTCCCAGAGTATATACAGGAAAATACGGTCCGAAGACCAAGAGAGCCAAGTGAAACTCAAGAAATGATGAAGGAGAGTGATAAGGGAAACAGCCAATCGGCGAGTGTCACAGCGCTCAACCCGGACCTACTAACACATGAGAGAAACCAACTCGGCCTTCCGCAGGTTCCGAATAACGGACGACCGTCCCCGAACGGCGAAGGTCATAACCGGAGCCGGGGACAGTCCTCGAAGATATGAGACAGCTGCAGGAGTTCGCCTGGCTTACACGAACATGCCGCACCTCGACCCAACTTCCGAAACGTATGCTGCCCGCTACTACCGTCTCCTAGAGGTCCTCAAGACCGAGGGACTTGTCGAGCCGCGATACGATGCCGACAGTCCCGGAGAGTGGCTGGCTTGGGCCCACAGAGTCCGTTGGATGATCATACGTGCCTCCGAACTTTGACTGTCCTTTGAACCATCGAACCAACCTTCGAACAGCGATTCTTGTTCGAGTCCCGCAGCCGGGCCATCCTGCTAGCGAACGATACGCTTCCTGCTCCTAGGTCGTTCCCCGAGATCGACGAGTTGATGTGTTACCTCGACAAGGTCTTTCACCGCGATGGCAACCAGGGAGATATCCTAGGTTCGCCCTACCCTACGATCGCCTGGTCCGAGACCTTGGTGCTGCTCGAACAAGTCAACCAGGTCGAGTGTCGTCCTCTCGCGAACCCGCAGTATCAGCGCGAGTCGTTGATCCTGTCCGACTTTCGCCAGCTGCCCGACAACCTCGAGTCCATGGGTCGAGCGATTCACAACATCGCAGTCGACCACATCAGGAAAAACCACTTTCCCCCTCAAGACAGTCCAACACTTTTGAAGGTACTTTAATCGCTTCCAAGCGATTTTATTTTATCTGGAGCGGTTGAAAGCACTTCGGCTAGCTTTGACCCATTCGTTCTTTAGTAAAAGCACACTGTAGACTTTGACATCTATGAAGCCGTCTTGTGCAAGTTTACCAGATAGCCTATGCTCAATCAGCCTGCGTATACATTGAATATGATATTGGTACCTAGAGACTACTGTTCTACAGTTTGGATACAACGTTTATCTGACAGATACAGCACGAAAGTTTCACTACACTACCAGCATCGTAGTATTACATTGAGATTGGCCGCTAGAAATCCTCTTGCCCAATGAACTTGAACCCCTCGTCGTTCCAGTCAAAGTATCCCATTGGATCGTCCGTCTCCATCGCTTCCTCCCCCGCATCATTGCTGCCGCTGTTCTCGTCAGCGTGATCATCCGCCACCGGCCAATTCTGAGGTACTACGACCGTGCAGCCGGGTTCGTCCAAGGCAGGGCGCTGGGCCACGATTCCGAGGGGTCCGGCATTAACGACACTCCATTGCGCCTCCATGTACGCGCGTGGAAGGGGAAGCTGGGGCCAGACGTACTCCAGGTCCATGAACTGACGCTTCATGGAGCACAGCGGTTTGATGTCAGGGTAGATACCGTGGGCGTAGCTGTAAACCTTGGGCGTCGTGCCCACATGGGAGAGCTTGAAGATTGGCATCTGCTGGAGGGGCAAATTGAAGCGTATGGGGACGTTCCCTCTCAAGATCGTCAGGTAGAACGTCTCCTGGTCGACATCGTAGAGGTCGAATCCGGTCACGCCCAAGGAGCTGTGGCGTTCCTCCGAATCCTTCCACGGATTTAGGCCCGGAAACACCTGCTGCATGAGCGGTTGGTGGGCTGGACCGGGTATTTCGATCTGCAGCCCGAACGGGCCTATCTCGCAGAGGAGTGGGATGCTGATGGGCGAAGAGGCGTTCTGTATCCATCCAGAAGTCAGTATTAAGCTAAGTCGCTACAGAACTCGTGGAATGTACCTTTATGAAGAACAATGTCTCCACTACCGCAACCCTCGGTAGCTGTCCATCCTCACGCACCCGCAACAGAGGGGGGACTCGCACCTGGTCGGCGTAGAACTGCGCGACCGCCCCCAGAAACACCCACCCTCCCAGCCTAATCGGGTCGTCCGTCTGCCTCGTTGCGTCGACGTCCTCGAGAATGAGGCGCCGCTCCTCATCCGTCGGCTGCATGACATGATCGGTCTGGTGCATGGTGCAAGCGTCCGGTCCGTACATCGAACACTTGGTGAGTTAACCCGTTAGTACAACTGCCCATATTCGTCAATGAATCGCACGTACATAGTCATATAATTCTCCTATGTGTGCCCTGTCCAGGCACATGACGGTAATGTGAGCTAGACCGGTCTTGAAGGGGCATAGCTGGGTGGCTCCAAAGTACTCCACGGAGCTGATGGTAGGAGCTCTGTGGGTAGCAATGATGGGGAGGACTCTCCGATCGATGTAGATGCCAGCCATAGTGAAGAATGGGAGGGGAAGTGGCGAGCAACACAGGTAAAAGCGAATTTGAGCAAACCCAAGCAGTTGAAAGAGACTGAGAGCTCGTGGGAAGGTTCAGCGCGTCTTTGTTGCAATGAAGCGCCCGTGGCCACACCGTACGGTCGGAGGAAGTATAGATATTATTCTGAGGATTGGAACTCACGCTGCTCAAAATAAATACCCCTGTGTGCTAGAACGTTGACGAGTGCTGAAGTTATTCTGAGGTCGCCCAGTGAAGAGGATGCAACAGAGTTCGAGCACCTGAAAAACACTTGTTGTTCATGGATCCGCCGCTCAAAATGGGAGAGAAATATACGTTTCATTCGTCGCAGATACATGTCTCACTCACTAAATACAGGGAACAAGAAAGCCGTTGGGCCTGATCTCCCAGACCTCCACCTCCGAACGCTGAAACTCCTCAGCGGCCCTCTCGCCCTCGACGTATGGGATCTCCTTGCCTCCTGGGAGAATCTCCCAGATCTCCACTGCGTCCAGTTCCTCTACGCCATAAGCAACAGCCGTTGCAACCACACCATTTACCGCCTCTGATCTGTCCGAATTCAAGTCCGAGTCCAAGTCCGGGTCTGGGTCGAGCGTCACGAGGTTCTCCACTGTACACCCGTCTTCGCCCATGAGAGGTCGCACCGCAACAGTTCCTTGGGGGCTGCCACGGTGCTCGATTCTCCACTTGGCCTTAAGACATTTGCGGGGCTGCGGCAAGTCCACAGGACAGACAAAGTCGAAGTCCAAGAATTCGGCCTTCATGGAGCACATGGGAGGCATAGGCCTCTGGCCACCAGCGTATTTGTCGGCATGCACGGTGATAGATACCGCTGAGTCTTTGAAGACAGGCGTGTACTGGAGAGGGAAGGCGAGGCGAAAGGGTACTTGGGGACGCAGACACGCAGGGATGAACTTGTTGGCGGGGACGTGGAAGAAATCGAAAGTCATTCCGAGTGGTCCCCGATGGCTCTTCCACACGTTTAGCCCGCGGAAGAGCTGTATCATGACGGGTTGACTGAGCGAGATTTCTATTTCATCCCCGTGTATCTCCCATATTAGAGGGAGCGACAAAGGAGGATATGCATCCTAAACCAGAGGGCATAGCGTGAGCACGTCACAATACCGTTCTAGAGGCTCTACAACTCACCAAAGCAAACACCAGAGTTTCCACAACAACTTTCACGGACGGCCCCTGCAAACACCTCGGTATGAAAACTCCGACGTGACTCTCCAGTATCGACCCCAAGAGAACCCATCCGCTCAGCGTGGCTGGAGGATCCAGCGAGTCCACCGCTACCAGAGCTTGCATCCGAGCCCTCTTATTCCCTTGCTCCACGCTGCGCGTGGCTGGACAGACCGAGCAGTCGTACATCATGCACTAGAGTAGAATCGCAGCACGTCAATCTATGCCGAGGAATAGAATATATGCACTCACGTATTCAAACAGAACACCGAAGTACCTTCTCTCCAAGCAAACCACTGTGACATGGTTGATCTCCGGTCCCACTCGACAGCACCGCGAGTAGTGAGCAGCAATCGCATAGGTCGGAAGAGCTGGAGCGAGCAGCCGAAGCACTCGAGGATCAGGACGACCCATTCTTGTGGGTTAAGCAATCGGTATATGGTGCGGACAAGTGATCTGCGGTCCACTGTAGCGTTCTACTGAGTAAGCAAGTGGTCTGCTGTTGGAGCAAGAGGAGGGGCGTCTGCTAGAGTGACAAGTCGCCGGAGGAATCTGAAGCAGCGCGTCTCGCGTTGCAACCGCGAAGTGTCCGCTACAAGCGCTCACAAGCGAAGCTCTCGGATTTGTGTGCATTGTAAATGAATTAGAGATGGATATAGGGAACTACCACAACGTCTGATATGAGTACATTCCAGCCCAATTATTCAATAGAAATCTCTTGGCTTTGTCCAGTGCGTTCTCCGAGTTCCAATCCAAGGGAACAGCACCGCAGGACCCATCAGGGAAACCTGGTACAAGTTGACAGGACTGACGTATGTGTGAGAGGGGAATGATGTTGCCCGGAGGGAGCCCGTCAGATCTTAGCGGTGGTCGATTTAGCGTGTACATGAGGTGAACGGGATCGGCGGCACCTGCGAATCTTGTGTACCACTCGACGTACGCAAGTGGTTCTTTGGGCCACCATGCGGGTGAAGGTCCGCCGCCTTGGCGAGCCGGGAGCTTCTCAGGCAGCTTGAATATAACCTTTACTCTCCCGGCTCTTGTACCTGTACAGTTCTTTGTGAGAGGCCAGGTCGTGATGACGGAACTGATGAGCTTACCTCTAACACCTGTGGACTCCGCCTCCCCATTCTCGAGGACAATCACGGTGTCATAGCGTGCTTTCCGGCCTTTAACAACGGATCCCGGAATGGCCTTTACAGCATCTTCCTCCACCTTACCGTCCGACAGTGAGAACGGACTGAAGCGGAATTTATGGAACACGTCCACTCGGTCGAACGGTAGCCACGTTAGTGCGATATCTGTTCGACCCAGGCGAAGTTCCGGTGGCTGTATGTCGTTGATGAAGGCGACCAAGGCATTTGAGAATCCAGGAGCTTTGTGCTGCTCCTGGATACGAGCCAGATTTTGCTGAGGGGCTGGAGGATACTTAGCTATCTTGATGGCGTTCCCAACGTCGACGACCTCTTCTGGATGACAGGCGGCTTCCTCAGGCTCACCGTCCAAGTCCTCAGCTACCTCCTCCGCCTGGCACTCCTTTTGAAAGGCCTCGTATGCCGCCATCTTCTCTCGCCGTGTGATCCATTTCATCATTTGAGGGAACTCGTCCCGGTGATTCGAGGCGCGCCATGCCTTTTTGGCGAAGTCGATGTGGAGACGTTCGAACATCTCCGTGTTGTAGTTGTCCGTGGTTCCGAACTGACGGATGGAGTCGGCGTAATGCAGGAGTGAGTGAAATTTCGGGATGTTCAAGTTGTCGCGGATTCCAAGCTTGATCAAGACGTCTTTATTCTTGTGGTACGTCTTCAGAGCGTCGGTCATATACCCTAGAGTGGTGTCGTCGTGAGTCGGGTACTGCGCGAGATAGATGAAGTCTAGGATGGAACGGAAGGTGAGCATGACGCCCTTGGGTATCTTTCCCACAAGACAAGCAAGGAGTACGCGGGCCATCTCTTTTCTTTCCTTGCCCGACACCTGGGCCAGCGACGAGATCCCGTTTTTGAAGTGCCGGATGCCGTAAGCGCCTGGTAGACACCGGAGACGGTTGTCTAGTTCCTCAGGGCTGAGAAGGTCCTGGCACCACGAGACCAGGTGCTTGAACACCCCCTGGTACAGCTGATGCAACACGTCCGGGGTGATGGACATGTGGATATCAGTGTACGGCAGGTCCATCCAGAACGGCGTCTTCACACCGCCGCAGACCTCCTGTTCCATACACAGGGCGTCGGCGGCGGCGGCGGTGTTTCCTTCTCGTGCCTCCCGGATGATGCGTTCCGTCTCCTCGGGGGTTCGTGGTTCCTTGGCGACATCGTCTTGCAACTTGTCTGCAGGGCATAGGCACTTCGGGCACGTACCGTACTTCGAACAGGTTACCAGACACTGCTCAGGGTAGTCTGCGACGTACGAAGCGAGGATGGGGTGAACGTGGCGGACGGAGCCGTCACCGCCGGTGACCTCGATGCCGTCCAAGCCGGCTTGCACAAGAGGTTGCAGAATGATACGCATTGCCGCGTGAAAGAGTCTCTGGCCCCTCGCTTTCCGTTCACGCTTGCCGAGCTGCGCCTTGCCAATTTTGGTGACAGGCAGATATCCCAGGAGGATACAGGCGTGTTCGGTCGGTTTGCGGCGGATCACTCTAGGTATGTTGCCCAGGGTGAGGTACACCGGGTACGCCGCTTTGTTACCGGAGAACTGTGTGAGTTGCGTTTTATCTGTGGAAATAATGACAGGGGCGATGGCGTGCTCTCGAGGAATCATTTTCTATTGCCCACTCTTCAGAATCTTATGTAGCATTCCACATTATTGAATGGACACTCACTTGTACCGCATTCCACCACAGTCCCGTCCACATCTCGGTGAAAATACGCTTCGTCCTGGACCGATCAGTGAAGACACGCTTCGGTCGATACACAATGTACTTTGCGTAGGAAGGGTTGCCCAGAAGCGCTTGATTGCTTCAAGGATGTCTCGATATCGAACTAGATGCTTCTCATCCGGGCGGTCGGGAAATGCCAGAGATGATGTCTTCCAGGCTGCCCTGTCTGGGATGTCGTCGATCTTCATGAAGAGCTCCCGTATATCCTGAACGTTAGACCCAGCTTGTCAACGACCTACAAGCGTCCACTCTGAGTTGAGATTGGTCCAGCATAGAAATAAAGAGACGTACACCCGGTATGCTCAGAAATCGATTGAGCGACTTCTGACCGACGTCCTCTCGAACTATCCACATGGCTACACGCCAGTCGAGCTCGGACGCGAAGGGCTTCCACTTGCTGTTCGGGTCTAGCTGCTGTTGAGGCGCGTCTTCACCATCATCCAC